GAGAAGGGGGGGGGTAAAGGGATCAAAACAGCCCCCCCCCGGCTCTTTGCCCGCTCCCCAGCGGCTCCTGAGTGTCAGTCGCCAGGAGGGGAGGTTTGTTGCCATTCATTCTCCTGGGCTGTGTGTTGCTCCAGAGCAGGATGTGTCTCCGCATGTGTGTGTTTGTGTAAATCTGAATTTTTCCCAAATCTGCGTCTCTTAGTGTCCAACCCAAAGCCCCATCCCGTCTCAGGGCACTTACCAGGACTCTTCTGTTTGACCCACACTCGCACAAGCACAGGCCAGGGCCCGGCTGCTGCATTGCCCGCATTTCTGCAGGGGCACTGCAGAAATCCGCCTGCCAAAATCAACAAAAAGACTTGTTTGCAATAAATAAATAAATAAATAGAATCACCAATCTGGACTTCTACCACACTACCTCAAGAAAAACATCAGGTTTTGCACCCAAGGAGACTTGGATACTTCACAGAAGTGCCTAAGGAGCCACTTCTTCAGCAAATTCAGATTCATTTCTTGTCCTGGTAGGACAGGAGGTGAGTTCAGAGGCCCAGGAGCCCTGATTCTCAACAACAGTCATTCCCACTGAGAGGGGGAAGCGGTACCTTTGAGGAGCTGTTTGGCAGCAAGGGATTAGTTGGTGTCACACAAGGAGTTGAAAACCAAGATCGGCATCCTTCCTCCCTGGACCATCCTTTTCCTTGCAAGTTTCAGAGATGCTTCAGTACCAGCTGTAGGGTGGGGCAGGTTTTCTGCAAGACACCTCAGAGAAACGTGAAAATCTGCATTCTGGGGAAAGATTGTCCCATTTTAGTCACATTTTCAGGCACCTCGTACTAGTAGTTGGTATCATGAGGGCTTCCCACCGTTAGAAGAAGCCCGAGAGGCCCCTGGAAGCGCCGATCAGAACCTGACCTCTTGTGGCTGTTCCCCACAACAGTCCAGAGCCTCAACACCACCTTCAGCCTTTCTCCATTTAGATAGGCAGCCTTCTTCAGGAAGAAGGCTTAGACAAAAATTACCTTTGGGCCGAGCACGTTTTTCTCGTTTTCAGTGAGGAATGGGATCCTTGAAGAGACTGGAAAGACTATGAAAATTCATTAAAAATAATCAGCGAAACACATTTATCACACAATTTTCCTTTTTTTAGCCTACCCAGCTTAACATCAGCCCCATCGCAGGCTGTATGGCTGTAATCTAAACTGATTATTTCTCAAAGATTTACCAGCATTTACATGTTACTGTATTTCATACTTTATCTGAGGCAAAAACGTTCACGGGACCATAAAATCAGAAAAAAAACCCAAACATGTACCTGCAAGATAAGGGATTGTCTCTGCGTTGGCCTCATTACATCAGGATCCAGATGACAGGATTGGAGTTGAAATAAAATATTTTCAGATGAATGCTGGAACTCAGGTGTATAGTTGGGTGAACAACATCGTCATCAGTGGATTTACTTCACCAGGGCTCTAGACTAACGTCTTGCCTTAAGGCAAATAAATTGGCTGCTTGATGATTAGCATTTTAAACCTGGTATCAACCTAATTCACAGAAATTTCCATTAAATTTCACAAGAATGGGACTGAGTAATCTTTTTCTCTCTGAAACCAATTCTTCCAAAAAGGAATTTCTTAGTAGGCTGACAGCTAAGAATTTGCAGGCTTCAGCCTCAGTCCTGACAGCATTCCCATTTGGAAATCCTGGGATGAAGCATCAGTGGAATAGCAGCCACTCAACTGACTTTAAATTTAAAGTCAAACACATACTTGACCGACGTGCAAATTTATCAGTCGGAGTTAATTCTGCAACTCTTTCTCCATTTGTATTGCTGAGAAAATACCTGCTCATATAGTGCTTTATATCTTCAAAGCACTTCACAAATGCTAAGTATTATTATCGGTTCTGAGCACGAACATTAACTCTCCTCAGGCCCCCAAGTTATTCCGCTGAATCTTTGAAGACTATTTGATTATACAATCAGTTCTCCATGTGCTAATACTCAGGCACTTCGAGTTTGTCACATCAAAAAGCAAGACGGAAAGAATTATTTGTCAGAAAAACAAATAATTACCAATATCAGAAGTAAATTGGCCATTTGTTAGAAGTAATGTGTATGTTCTTAACCATTTATCGGGAGAGCTGCCTTGATCAAAATAAGACAGCCTGCTGGAACCACATAAGCCATTTCTTTAGCAAACATCTCTAATACTAATACAAGAGCTTATAAGCTTTCTAATTGTTGCGTAAATGGAAGCGGTGGTAGCTTCTAGAACCCTTAAATAGCAATCATAGTGGAGCTGGCTTCACTCAACCTGTGCGGCTCTTTCTTCATACTGAAATGGCTTCCCTACCAAAAAGGGCATAGTTTGAGAGAACTAATATAGAAATATTGCCTGTAATTATTTTAGGGGGGTAATTCCTTAACCAGGAACATAATCTCCTACTTTGCCAATCAAAAGAAGTGGAAACATGTTTGAATGACATGAGCTAAGCATAACCTATCTATATCATCATAGAATCATAGAATGGTTTGGGTTGGAAGGGACCTTAAAGATCATCAAGTTCCAACCCCCCTGCCCTGGGCAGGGACACCTCCCACCAGACCAGGTTGCTCCAAGCCCCATCCAGCCTGGCCTTGAACCCCTCCAGGGATGGGGCAGCCACAACTTCTCTGGGCAACCTGTTCCAGTGCCTCACCACCCTCACAGGAAAGAATTTCTTCCTAGTACCTACTCTAAATCTCTCCTCTTCTAATTTAAAACCATTACCCCTTGTCCTATAGCTACACTCCCTGACAAAGAGTCAGTCTCCAGCTCTCCTGTAGGCTCCCTTCAGAGATAGCCAGACTTTAAGCATGGCTAAGCAGTGAGACTGAGAAATTGACGCTTATTTCACCTGATTAGCCAATTTTTACTGATAAAATCAATTTTTTTTACTCAGAGTTCTTTTCAGGTTACTCAGTAAGATTCTTGTAGCCCCAACCACTAAATATGACAGTCTTGAGAGTTACACCCCGCATCGGATCAACGTTCAGTTTTATCAAGACCAATTACACAGTGGAAAAATGAGCTTAGTCAAACTGGTCAAGTTTAATGATCAGCATCAAGTGAAGTAGTTTAGCAACAATCTCCAAAATTCAGAATCCCATTTTAAACAGCATGTGGCATCTAGCTGAATGTAACAAGAAATTAGACATCCTTCCACCAGTACAGTGGCAACAGAGAGCTCATTGTTCTTTCATTTCAATTATAATACAGTTCAGCAGAGTCTTTCATAGCTTTTAAGTATCACAGAATGTCTGAGATCTGAGTAGACTCCATTTATAATGAACTGGTTCATTCTCAAGGAGGAATGTATTATTGTATTATTTTCTTGACAGAAAAAAATATCTACTTTTTAACTTGAAGAGCTTAATTACACAATGAGATACTGACACAGGTTTCTCTGTGTTTCTTTATTGCATAGTTGCACACTAATGTAACAGTTAAAATCCAGCAGCTAGAAGTTTCGTGATATTGGGTAAAAACTGAGGAAAAAGGCCTGTATCACAGGAGAACATACATATGTTGTCTGCAAAGACAATTATTTCTGTAAATTATGATTAGGCAGATAACATAAATTGAAGTACACAACATAATAACTGCCACAAAATCAAGATGCGCAAAGAAAAAAGCAGAGATGTGCCAAGAAATACAAGTTAAGATATTCAAAATTAAGGCATTCAATTTTTAAAGCAAATGCTATTGACAATGAAGTTGAATGGAAAAAGGGACCTTTCCTCAAAAGTAAGCTGTGTAGAATTCCAGTACTTTAAAACCTAGCAGGTTTTTGTGAGATCAAAGCAATCTCCATTTCTATAGCTTTCAAAGCCAAAAGATACACTCCTGGCAGACTGGCAGTAGAAATACCAGTGATGTAAAAATATCACCCATGACAGAAAACATCAAAAGACTGGTCAGGCAGCCGTGGTGGCCTACACCTGAGCTGCACTGGTGTGAAAGTTCTGGAACAGGAGAAAGGTCTCATCTCAGATCTGGTGCTGAAAAGAGCCTGGCGCTGCTGCAGCACAGGCCACCTTCAGCACCAGTTGCTCATGACAGGCGATTTCCCAGCCGCGTGTTCCTTACCCCGTTACCCTCCCCTCTGGCTGCACACAAACCCCCATTCCCCAGCCGCCGCAGCCCCCCCAGCACCACGGGGGGGATTTTTTCCCCTACCCCAACCCTCTCCTGCCGTGGGGCATGAGAAACCCCATCCCAGTGCGTGGGTAGAAGACACGCTGCGTTTCATGCATGCCGCTCGCCACCCTGCCAGAAATCAGCGAGCCCGTAACCGGCAGCTTGGCAATTTCTTGCTCGATTTTTTGGGGATGGGGCCACCTTTCCCACTCACACTATTCAAAACAGGCCCCCCAACCGCCCCCCAGCCAGTTCAGCACAGGATGGTGTGCCTCCCACAAAGCGAGGGGTGGCTGGCTGGCTGGGCTGACTTTTCAGGGAAGGCGATGGTGAGCCTTCCAGCCACGTGGGCACCTGGAAGATGGTCTGCGGGATACTTACGGACACAGAGACAGGCCACCAGCTTGGCAGCATCATCAGGCACCGGGCAGGTGGGGAAGATGGGCTTGAGCAGGTAGGTGGCGAAGACCAGAGCCACGATGTACTGCGAGGAAGGCCGGATGATGAGCAGCTCTATCCAGAGCTTGAGGAAGGCGGGCAGGGAACCGTAGACCTCCAGCATGTAGGCGTAGTCCCCGCCGGACTTGGTGATGGTGGTGCCCAGCTCAGCGTAGCAGAGGGCACCCACGATGGAGAAGGCCCCGCAGACGGCCCACACCACCAACGACAACCCCGGCGAGCCGGCCTCCCTCAGCACGCCGGTGGGGGTGACGAAGATGCCGGAACCGATGATGGTGCCCACGATGATGGCCACGCCGTTGAGCAGCGTGATGTTGCGCTGCAGGGTCACCCCCTCGCCCTCGGCGGAGGCGCAAGGGGAAGGCGAGCGGGCACAGCCGTTCTCCTGCGCCCCGCCGCCCGCCGCCGCCGCCTCCAGCATCTTCTCCATCGCTTGCTTCTCCTCCTCCTGCGCCAGCGAGGAGGCCGAGCCCGCCGGGCTCCTCTTCTTCACCGCCGTAGCGCCGCTGCTGCTGCCGCCGTTGCCCGACATGGTGGTAACGGTGGCGGTGGTGGCGGCGGAGGGGAGCGGAGCGGGGCGCGGAGCGGAGCGAGGCGGGCGCGGCCGGGCGCTCCGCCGCCACCATGCAGCCGCCCCTTTTGTTCCGGCGGCGGTGGGCGGCGTACGGCGAGCGCCTCCCGTTTTAGGCGTGGAGCAAGGGCCCGGCCGCCTTTCCGGGAGGAGGAGGAGGAGGAAGGCTCTGTGTGTGTGTGTGTTGCAATGCCCCTGGTTTGCGCCAGCAAGAGGAGCTTTTAAGGG